TTAAGATGTTATCCTAACCTTGGAGAGGAAAATAGCCTTCGCAACACCAGCATCTCGCCTCCTGCCAACTGGATACGAAGATCCAGTTCCTTACATCTAATTACCTGTCAACGTTTCTTTTCCCTTCAGCAAGGTGAAGCTGCTTCATTTTGCTCCATTAAGTCATCTCAAGTGACGCCCGCTGTCGCCCGTAATGCTCAACACGTACACACTATTGTTCAACAGAAATTGCAGTCCTCAGAAAGGCCGTTCGCAAACCGTGGTGCTCATGGCGAATATGTCCAAGCGACAGTGGCCCTCAGAGAAAAGGTAACGTAAAGCTATCCCTGTAACAGGCCATGGAGGCCCATGGGGCTGAGACGTCGACGCTCCCACATTATCTAGAAAATCGGCTCACGGATGGTGGTGAGGTTGTTAGCCTTACGCGCTGGCCGCCCTTTACCCCCCAGGAAGATTCCCGGTACTCATTTCTGTTAGAGGCTGAAGCGATCGTAGGGCCATAATGCGGCTGGAAGGATTAGGTAAATTGAAAAAATCCACATCATCGGGACTGGAACCGACGACCTTCCGGCTTGTAGCATAGTGCCTCAACCAACTAAACCACCGCGTGTCCCCTCCGCGAAAGGAGGCACAGAGTGTAAAGGACTTGGCAGCAGGCTACAACAGGATCTCACTGTCTCGTGAAATTCTGCTTAACTCTGACATCGAATGTAACTCATTTCTGTAATACTGTTTTAACTATTCGCTTTCGTTACATAGTAGAGTTATTATAAAACTGAGCAAAGTGCCTCAAACAGTAACGTTTCTGGCATATTTTGGAGGTGTCTGGTTCGAGTCTCGGCTGGGACACAACCAGCCTGAGGTTCTTCATGACTTTCCTCAGGCAAATATCGACATGGTACCTCGAATTGGGCAACAATCGCTTCCTTTCTAATCGTTTCCGATTCAACATTCACTGATTATAATCATTCGACGGTATATACGAATACGTAGTTCTAAGCTACTGACAGTTTCGTTAAAGAAACCATAAATAAATGAATAAACAATTATAATAAACTGCAAATGACGTGTAACAAAGACATCGTAGCACGTTATTAAGTACTGTCCCTGGAAGTGTGGAGATTTAATAAAACCATGAAAGTATTTGTCTCATTCAACGATACAAATCCGAAACCCGTCGAATCCGAAGTAAGTACACTGTAGGTATTCGAGAAAGTTCGTAAACGATACACGTCACCAGTATGAAAACAGCGTCGTGATATGAGAGATTCTTGTTCTTACTCCACTCTTAGCCCATGCTGGACGCAATCAATGCAGCAAAAGGTGATGAGGTTCCGAACAGAGCCGTGTAGACTCCAGTAGTGTGACAAAGCGAATCACTTACTCAATGGGGCTCTCACATTCAGTCGGCTGGTCAACAATGCCTTGTCTTCGACCTGACGTGCATTGCCATGTTCACAAAAACCGGCCAGCGAGCCGTATCTCAAGCCATATGAGTCCAGTCAACACGCTGAAAACTCAAGTCTTTTAGAATCATCTTAATTTTATTCCTCCCTCCATGGCTCCCAAGCGGGTACTTTCTTCCTTACTTCACTACTCAAAATCGTACATCCACTTTACCGTGCATGCCATTCGTGCCACAACTTTAATTACGATTTCCGCAATAGTAATATTACAAGTCCAAATCAATGTCGCAAATATAAAAACGGTTTCGAACAAATTCTTCTAGCGAAATAAACGGCCATGCTATCATTACCTACCACCACCGTCACTACACATCATCGTTATTATCAGTAAAAAGTAAAGCTACCCTGTAACAGGCCGTGAAGGCCCATAGGGTTGTGAGACGTTGAGGGTCCCACATTATGTAGACACTCGGCTCAAATGTGGCGGTATTGTTGTCAGCCTTACGCGCCGGCCGCGCTTTACTCCCCAGGAAAATTATTTAATTAATTCCTGGTACACATTTCTGTTAGAGGCTGAGTAAACCCCAGGGCCTATTGCATTGTTAATATCTGCTCCTCATGTAAGAACTGTCCCTCTGCTAGACGTGCATCAGCTGCTAATGTTTGAAGGGATGTTGACGTATTAGGGGCCAGAAAGGTTCTCAACCGTTTTTTGTAATATGCCACAAATTATTAGTGGCGGTCAGGGCAGCCGAGCGGTCTAGGCATGTACTGTGTTCGCTCGCTCGAGAGCCGGGATCGTGGGTTCGAATCCCACATAAGGCATGGATGTTTGCCATGTGTATTCGTTTATTCTGTGTTTGTGTTGTCCTGTGTTTAGGCAGAGACCTTGCGACGAGGTGATCACCCGTCCAATGAATCCTACCATCTGTAAAATGATCATGAAACTNAGGAATTGTTGTTAATTTATTGCTATTATACAGACTGTTTTATTTTGTATTTTGTTTTTTTTTAGTTATTTTTTGTTGTGTGCTTCTACGTACTTGTGCTAACTTTGTAACTGGCCTCTGTGCTGTTAAGTCTGAACGTAAATAAACAAAACTGAACTATGCTGTTGTTATCGTCCTGCGCTTTGGTGACTACCTTTCTGTATTACTAGACCTAGCGTACTGTATGGTCATGGCTATTATACACACCAAACGCGATTATGTATCAGTACAGAGCATTGGTGATGTGAGGATTTAAGGGAAAACAGAAGAAACCTTTTCTCCATCACGAATCTCACAGGAAGTAACCCAACACTGAAGCCAGAGCTTCGCGGTAATAAGCCAGTACCTAACCGCATGTGATATAACAAGGTCTACAATTTAATACTGCTGTTCTAAACAGCGATTATGGAGGGCCAGTCAGGTCACTTCGTTTCTCAACAATAGAGTGTTCCAGGTAACATTCTTGTACTGTTGACGCACGCATCTGTAGTGTGCAACTCTGCCTGATGTACAGCAGATATATGTATACGAAACACAGGCGTGCCTCAGATCAACGTATTTATCGTGTTTGGAATAGGCACTTCCATGGTAACGCAATAACAGTGAGCCGTTGCGTAGGCATTGCCGAAACAACGAACGCGTTTCCCCGGAGATGGACAACAGAAGGCCCTTTACGTAATAACAGACTGTCGATATAGCAGAAACGGGACCGTGGGGATTGGTGTCTGGTATCCAGTCCGCATAACCCCTATATAAGCAGAGCTTACGACACGTACAGAGCAATGAAAACTGAGTATTGAGAACTAGACAAACTTGGGATAGCCGCCGCCAGACACGGTAGAGATCCAACGACGGCCAAGGATAGTTGAGACGTCGCACTGGAATACTGGAGAGTATTGGGTCAGAAGCGAAGTGATAATTGTAAGAGTGAATGTTCAATAAAGATTCGCTAAATCCGAGACCCACGTAAAGTTATTTGTCGCGTGACATACCCAACACGTGACAGTATAAATATTCCCCAGTTCCAACAGTAATAACACTGTAAGAAGGCGTGATAACGCGAATACTAAATACCGTACATGCTGACGTATAGCAAACATGAACTGATGCTTGCCACAATAAAACGGGCTATACTAACTTTACACGAGTTAGCTCGCCAGTTTTACTGGTTTCATGGGCCTTTCATGCATTCTTTTTTATCTTTGCAGACAGTAGACTTTTACCTCCTTCATTCATAATTCGTATCTTCCTAAAAGGCACCATTATGTCTACAATTCTCGTATCAGAAGTGCGAAGCATCGTGCTACTGAACAGCCGTACCAATAGCAGGCCGGACACAAGCAGAGAGCATTCATTCCACCACAACCCTACGTCGATTTCAGGCATTCGAGAAACTTCTGAATAGACACGTTCTGGATGCTTTATGAGCAAACGAGAGAAAAGGCTTTCAACTCGCCGGAGCATTATAATGAGCGAGACTATATAGTGCGTCAAATCTGGCAGAACTTTTTACATATGTAGGTAACATTTCAGACATTTTATTAGACTTAAAACTATCAAGCCAGAGTGTAGCAAAAGGAGATATTGAAATCTAAGAGGGCACCAATAATATAATTTAAGCTTCGTGGTAAGTTGGACACCTAACTGAGGTCGAACACGAGCCTAGAAAGAAACTGAAGAAAGTCACTAGGAGCGTATTTTTCACTGGCATTAACAAAGGTAACATTACTCATTATTTTGAATGAATACATGAATCCAAAGCAGAAACACAAGTGTTTCTTAAGGGCCAATTTGTACATACTTAGTACAATCTGATACTAATTCAAAAAGACGTTACAAATTTTGAAAAAATGAAACAATTTAATGTTAATATACACAATTTTTTCATTTAAGATTCATTCTAATATCACCCTTCCTTTTATTCGTAGGTCATCGAAGCTGTCATTTTCCTTCACGTCTCCTGTCCAAAGCGTTATATATACTTCTCTCTCATACGTGCTACATAACTTGCCCACATTATCCTGCTTGATTTGATCATCCTAAACACTACTTGGCAAGCATCAACGAAGCTCTTCATTATGCAGTGTTTCCGGCTTCCTCTTAATTCCGAGCATTCTCCTCGGCACCTTTTCTCGGTCTGCGATCTTCCCATTGCGTGACAGACTGAGTTTTATGCCCATACGAAACAGGAATTATGTATAGTTAACTATTACAACCACGCCGAAACGCCACACGTGTACTTTTCCAACACACCCGAAAGCAATACTAGATAATTAAAAGGATGTCAGGTTAATGTACTTTGGTCCACGCTGCTTTGTTGCATACTGCTTGTGTAGTTCGACATGCCCGTTGCAACAAACTGCAACATAAACATGGTATATGGTCCCTAATACAGACTATACAGAACTGCTATTAAATTCACGAATCCATTTCGTAATATAGATGAACGTCGTGTTATGAAGCGGGGAAACCATACTCCTTTACAAAATCACAGAGCACTAATCTTTTCACGGAGCACATGAATACATATTCTCACGAAAGATGAACAACGAAAAATAACGTTTATAGGATTCAAACAAACTGTCGGATTAAAATATGTTCTCACCTTTGTGATGTCTAAGGTGATGGTGTCCACAACACGGTGATTCATAGTAGAAGGCCCAGTGGTTATCATAATCTGCTTCAACTTGGAATGCACCGAGTTCAGAGATGACTGTTACAACCAGCACAAAACGCAAACACGCTGACAACTTGCCAGTCATTGCTAACGGATTCTAATAACACTTTCCTAGATTAAAACCAATTCTTTTTTGTTACCAGTTCTGAACTTTACACGTCTGTGTAAACTGTGAGATATTTTAAACAACACATTAATACCATCATAAGAAGCAATAATACATATATTTAGCTTAAGATCCACAAATAATCACTAAACTGTACAACTGTCTTTGCGATACAGTCGTTATTTTGCAACACACGTGAGTTTACGAACGAACGCTGCAAGTCTGAAGAGCGACTCTACTTTTACCGCCAAACGCCCTCGCTTTCAGGCCATCAACTGATATCGCTGTGCGAGAGACAGGCATGCATTCGAGAAGTTCAACTCGGAGCGATTCGGTAACTTCCGCCAACCGACGCTGTATGCGTGCCCACCGCTTGCAAGATGTTGCACGCGTATTTCAATACTTTTATTCTGACATTTTAACACATACTCTCACCGATAATGACTGTCTTCATTTTACTTCTACAGCAGTTGAGTTAGCCTTTTCATTACCTTTTATTACAGCGATATAATGAAGAGTGGTAAGATGGACACATGTAGAACGTAGGTGCAAGATGAAAAGTTGATAGTAGGGAAAACCTGATGCAAAGGATCATTTGGGAGACCTAGGCATATAAGGCCCCCGTCCAAGGAGTCCTACCGACTGTGTATAGGATTTTTTTTTCCTGGCACTACAGCCCCAGTGGGCCTAGGCCTACCTCCATGAACTTCTCCGTTCACTTCGGTTTTTCTAGATCTTGTACATTCGGTAGGACTCCTTGGGCGGGTGATCAGCTCGTCGCAAGGCCTCTACCTGTACACAAACTCAGAAAAACGCACACACACACTAAACATCCATGCCTGAGTGGGATTCGAACCCACGATCCCGGCTTCCGAGCGAGCGAAGACAGTACATGCCTTAAACCACTCGGCTACCGTGACCGGCGTGCATAGGATTAAGAAACTGAAAAATCGGCCAAGGTAAAAAAAAAGGACTGTAGAGCCATAGACAGATAGATAGATAAATAGATAGACAGGCATAGATGAAGGATGACTTAGTAAGTGCTGTAGTGAATTGTAGAGTGTGTGAATTAGCGATAGCGCTATGGTTACTTGCAGCTACGATCCGTAAGTATTCAATATATCCAGTGTAGTCACTCATATAAACAGGAACATTATCTACCTGCTCATGCTTGTCACAACAAAAGAAGTTATACTAAGTGCACTACAAAAGTTAGCTCAGCGGTTTCACTGGTTTTCGAAGGTCTCTGGATCCAGAAACAGGAATGGGTTTTTGGTACATTCTTTTTTTATCCTTCTAGACTGTAGATTTGTTCCTCCTCTGTTCATAATTCGTATCTTCCTAAAAGCCACCATTATGTCTACAATTCTCGTATCAGAAGTGAGAAGCATCGTGCTACTGAACAGCCGTACCAATAGCAGGCCGGACACAAGCAGAGAGCATTCATTCCACCACAACCCTACGTCGATTTCAGGCATTCGAGAAACTTCTGAATAGACACGTTCTGGATGCTTTATGAGCAAACGAGAGAAAAGGCTTTCAACTCGCCGGAGCATTATAATGAGCGAGACTATATAGTGCGTCAAATCTGGCAGAACTTTTTACATATGTAGGTAACATTTCAGACATTTTATTAGACTTAAAACTATCAAGCCAGAGTGTAACAACAGGAGATACTGAAATCTAAGTGGGCACTAATGACATAAATGAATATAGTTTACATTCCATAAGAAAAGTGCAGAATTTCGAAATGTTAAAGTAGTTGGAGTATATTGTTTCCACTGTGCTTCAAAGCCAGTGAGACTTGGAGCTGCACATTCATTCTTCACACAGTGCAACCATCGAACCCGGGCCGCGGATGCCGGGTGCGATCCTAGTTCAAGTCCTACGCGATTTATGGTCGTCAAAGTATTTGCTCCGAATGTTTCGTTTTACCCTGCCAATTACCATTCCATCAGCTGTTCACATTCATTAACCATTCTGTCTTCTTCTACGTTGACGGATTGGGCTCTCAGGCCTGTTCAAGGCCTGAATTAATCTGACATTACATGAATCTTACAGGCAGTTGATAAGACACCTTGGACAGGTGATCAGCCTGTCGCAAGGCCTATACAGGACAACGCAGACATTCATCCATGCATCGAGTGTGATTCGAAACCACGCCCCCAGTGTCTAAGCGGGAGAACGCGCTTTGTGCCTTAGACCGCTCGGCCACTGTGATCGACCTGACCATTCTATCAGGCACACACTATGCAGCCTCGTTTCTAACAGCGACCTTAATAATTTGACTTGACTGTATACAGGATGCAAGATGCTTTGACGTGGAAAGACGAGTGATGATGGTAGCAGAGTTACACCTGTTTCTTTGGCCTGGAACCTGAGGCTGCTAAGTCTAGCCGTCCTTCTTGGTTACAGTAGCATTCTTCACTAATCAGTGACTATTTTGTGAAAATATAACCGAGATTAACGGCTGTGGGGATCCGTTGCGCTGACCACGCGACACCCTCTATCCGCTAAAGTTGGCACTAACTTCGCCGACAAGCGGCGGTCGCTCGGTCCGTATAGTTCGCTTGTGGACTACAGGCCACGGAGTTATATGATAACATATCCAGAAGTGTCTTAGCCTTAAAAGGTGATATCCTCACATGAAGCTCTATTGATGCAGATGTCTTCTGCCGTTTAGCTTAAATAATGTTATAACTATGAAAGGGCCACGCAGTAGTGTAGTTGCTTGACGCACTATGCTACAAGTCTAAGGTCGCGGGTTCGAGTTCCGATGATGTGGATTTTTTCAATTTACCTAATCCTTCCAGCAACATTATGACCCTAGGTTCGACTCAGCCTCTTAACAGAAATTAGCACCAGGAATCTTCCTGGGGGTAAAGGGCGGTCGGCGCGTAAGACTGACAGCCTCACCCCCATATGTGAATCTATTACCTAGAGAGAATGTGGGAGACTGGACGTCTCACAACCCTATGGGCCTTCACGGCCTCTTACAGCGATAGCTTTTACCTTTTATAACTATGTACTCTAAACTTCAATATTACATACAATTTTTTGTGTGTTAAGTAACTCGTTCTCTTTCGTGTTTCCTGCCGAAGGACCCAGTTCAGTTTTTTCTATCATTAAACAGTGATTAGTATCGCAGTCAGTTGTTCTCTAAGATCGAGCATCAATCACACTTGAGTGCCCACTTTTATCAATCAAAACATGATCAACCCGATTGCGTCATCCCGTCAGAAATAAACAGAAAAATAAGCCAAGAAGAACGCCGTAAACAATGGCAAAGGAATTCTCGTCATGAATAAAAGACTTCAAACTTCCTTCACGTAAACTTCACACGCTCTAACTAATTCAAATTAAAGTCAGATTAGAAAGGCGGGGGGGGGGG